AGCCCGAGGGCGAGAGTTGAACCTGGAGAGACCCCGCAGGCAGTTCGTACGGGAAATAATCCTGCCAGATCAGCACTGCAGGAAACATGTGGGGCCCCCTGGAAAAAGTGTAGATCCTGCACATTTTTTTGCTTTTTCTACAGAATCCAACTCCAGAAGGTTGCGGCGTGTTGGGTTTGTTTTGGTGCTTTTTTTTCCCCCTTGTTTGCATTTCTTGTGTCGGTGTAGGGCCTTGAGGCTCTGATACACTCTCTGAGAAAGAGCCACCGGTCAGCCCAGCGGCAGCGCGAGCGTGCACGGTGGGTTTTGTTCGCACAGCAGGGAGAATGTGCTGTTCCGTCATAGAAGATGGGATGATTTTTCAGGAGAGGTTTTTAGGTCCTTTGGCGTTAGGGAGTGTGGGTGGGACTGTTTCATTCCTCTAGTTTTCTTTGTGGAAATACGCTGGAATACCTGTCTGCCAAGAGGAACAACTTTCACCTGAGGACTTGGGAGTCCTAAAGAAACAGCGTTGCTTAGGTTTGGGGTTTTTTTTCTTCCTGTTTTGTATGGGTTAGTTTGGTTGTCTTAGCAGTTTAGTGACTGTTGAAATATCTCTTTTCCTTTCTGCTTCTTTAACTAGCTGCTTGGCTTTGAATCTCGCTTTTCCTCTATGGCTTTGTGGGGTTTTTTTTTTCCCCTTCTGATTACAGAAGCTGGAGGTGCTCAGACTGGCTGGGCCCTTCTGGTGTGTTTCCTCTCTGATGCAGGAGAACCTGAAGAGATGTGTTCTCTGCAACTTACCCTGTCTAATCTCAAAAGTCCACAGCTGAGGGGGTTTCCACGAGAAATGCTTTAAGTGTTGAACAGACCCCTGTCTTTGGCATGCTTCCCCTGCTCTGTGGCAATTTCATTGCAGGGAACCTCCCTGATCTCTGGGATGCATTGGTCTCATTACATCCCCACCTTCCTGTAACGGATTTAATTCCTTCTTTTGGGTCATTCTCTTGCTTGATCTCTCCCCTTACTTAGTGTTTGGAGCCTTTGGAGACCTCCTTGTCCCATTAGTGATGTCACCATTTAAGTAAGTGGTCCATGTTAGCAAACCTTCATCCTTCTAAACCATTTTTATTTCTTCTGTGCTGTTCTGCCACATTAACCAAACGTGCCAACAGTGCAGCCTAACTGGATGGAGCAGGCACTGCATGCTCTGGACACAATGTAGGTCGCACATGTGTGCTCTGTTACACTTCAAACTGTAGATGCCTGCTCGGAGTTCCGGTTGGTCATGGGTTACCCAGTCAGGCATGTCCCTCCATGTTTGTGTATACTGCTTTTTATCAAGCAGTCCCAGCATGCTGAATAGCTCAAGATGAATTATCATTGCTTAGAGGCACCATCTGTCCTTTTTTCTCTGGCCAAAACTAATTTTATTTTCCTGCGCTTTCCCCAGCGCACTCTTTTATGTTATTTTCCATGCTTCCAAATTCAGTATGACCACCAGGGTGAGCCTCCTTTTCTAGCTCTTCCAGTGAATGTTCAGTAAAACCAGGTGAAGTCAATGGGACGCTAATTAGTTTTTATCCTTTCCTACCTTCTTAGCACTGCTTTGTGACTGTCCTGCTGCTGCTTTCACTTGTTCTTGCTCAACAGAGAGGTGAGCAAGATCTGGTGATACGGACTGCATGTCTCCTGTGGTCCAAATGCTGTCCAATTGGCTTGGCATGGATGATGCTGTGCTTTTTGCCTTCCAGGGGTTCAGATTGTTTTTCCACCTGTGCTTTTCTACATGCTGTTCTGTGGTATGTGAGCTGAATTAGTACTTTCCCTCTTTGGAAGATGACTGTGGACAACTGTTGCTCAGCTTTTGGGGGGACAGAAAAGGAGAAATTTAAGTAGAAAACGTGGTAGAACCATGCTGTTGCAGCATAGCCTAGAAGAAAAAGGCTTGTCGGTAGTTGGGACTCAAGGTTTGGCTGCCTTTTGATTTTGGGTGGGATGAGGGAGAACAAGATGCTCTTGAGCTGAGGAGATAAGCCCAGTCTGCGTTCTGCCACGCAGCATGGGGCTGGAGTCAGAGTGAGGGGGAAGAGTGTGGCCTGGCTGGAATACAGGAGGTACGGCAAATTCAGCTGAAGAAAACACAGAGATTGGGAAAAAGGAAGAAGAGGAAGTGCACCTGCCCAAAAGAAGGTGATAGCTTCTCTGCAGAAGGGGCGGGGGGGCAAGAAGTAGTAGCCAGAAGGAGTGTGCGGGAGGAGGGATTGGTGCTGTGTGTGGAAGAGGCTAGCACCACAGTTCAGCTAAGGCTTGTGACCCGGAGATAACTGGCAACAGGTTATTCTGTAGTGCAGTGTGTGTGTCCTGCTGAGTGGCTGGATGTGATAGAAAGCTTCTGTGTGTGCAAAGCTTGATTGTGCTCCTGCTGACTTCAAATGGCAAGTGACCGTGTGAGGACGGTTCAGTGCGTGAAGAAGGGGTGATGCACATGATCTAGGCAACACTGACTGCAGTGTCCTATCACGCAGGCACTTAAGCCTACGTTTTCCTCTTGTAAGATGCCATCAGCTGGAAAGCCTGCTAAAGTCATCAGCCTCTGCCAGGGTCTGTGTTACTCTGTTAACAGCTGACAAAGTCCTTCTGAGCACTGGGGAATAGTGTCCTGGGTGACTCTTCTGGTTTCCTTCTTCTAGGACATCTCTACTTGCCAGCCACTGAAACAGGGCTTCAGCTCAGCTGAATGGGAATGTGCTGTTTGAGTCAGCTCTGTGGAGGGCTTTGGTGAGAAACCACTAGGTTAGAAATAGAGCCTTACCCTCTGAAGCAGGGGTGAGGAGGGACAGGAAGGCTGGGTTTGCAGTGGAAGGGGATTAGGGTCTTTATATTGCTAGGGAGTATGAATACCAAGTACCAAGCTTTTTCTTGGTATACTCCTTAAGATGGGGAAGCAGTGTCTCTGAACTTGGGTTTACCAGGACTCACTGGAGCCCTAACCAAGTCAGCTGCAGTCTGTTTCTCTCTGAAAGTGGGTGATGATGTCTTTAGTTTTCCTGCTTTATCCTGAGTTAATAGTACCTGGGACATGCCAGTTAAGAAGGGTGAAACCAGGAGTTACTGTGTGTTCAGAACTTAGCTAACTGTAAGTACTCACTGCTCAGAAACCAGCCCCTCTTAAAAGGAATGCAAACTGGGCATCTCAAACTAGACCTGGTGTGATTCTTAAAGATCCCAGGATAGGAGTGGAAATTTCCCCCGAAGTCTTTCTTGTAAACTGTCATCTCATCTCTGCTGCACGTCTGGAAGTGATCTGTGCCAGAAAGGTGAAACACTTCAGTAGGGAGTGCCTGCATGCAGCACTGGACTCTGAAGTTTGCTGCGTTTACTGGGCTTTTTAAGGAGAGACAGAAGACAAATGGCTCAGTTCTGTATTCTGCATGTCTGCTCTGACTTTGAATATTTGCCCAGAGCTGTGAGAGACTTTCTGAGCTGAAAGTCACGGAGGGATGTTCCCTGTGTTCACGTGTTCTTACATACGCATGCTCAGAGCAAATGAATTGTCCGGATATCTTCTCTGGAGTTGTATTTAAGACAGAGATGTATGAGGCTGGAGGGGCATGTGTTGTGAGTGTTAGAGGAAGGCTCTGAATCATCCCCATAGCCTCACTGTGCTGGTACCCCATAGCCAGGTCAGTTTTGAGGAAGACTGCCAGAATCAACCAGCTGTGGGACACTGGAAGCCGCTAATGCCATCCAAAGGCAGCAAGGAGGAGCTAGAGACTGGATGCCAGGATGCTGAAGGTGTGGATGATGCCCAGTCCACCGACCAGCTCAATGTGTCACGTCTACGCAGCTCTTCAGTGGAGATCCGTGAAAAGGGGTCTGAGTTCCTGAAGGAAGAGCTTCACAAAGCACAAAAGGTAACGTTCCGAGTTTGCGAGAACAGCTGAGGATAGAGAGATGTGAGCAGAGGGGGTCTTCCTAGAGATGGTACTGAGGGGAGCAGGGTCTGAGTGTGGCTGTGCCGCGGTCTGGAGCAGGCCGAAGAGGAGAGACATTGAGCTGATGTGGCCATAAATTGCTTTGGAGCAGGACGTCAATTGCTAGCTTGACCCAAAGCCTACATACCAATATCCAAATTAGTCCTGGAAACCTGCTACAGAAAGCAGCTTTAGGCAGGCAGTGCTTCCTACAGAGCTTCCTTGCTAATGGCACATGAGCAGTTCCAGCCTGAGAAGCCTGCTACGACTTGTGGATTGGTGCCTTTGGTGACAGAGCGCATGGTACAGAGTTTAGTGACAGGAGTCTTGGGCTGGGAATCTGTGCTGTGGTGGAAAGGAAAGGTGGTGATTGATGGGTGGGGGCAGGCAGGCATCAGCACTACAGGGGCCTGCTATGACCTCATGTGTTCCTATCCATTTCCTCAACAGGAGCTGAAGCTGAAGGATAAAGAATGTGAGAGACTGTCAAAAGTCAGAGAACAACTGGAGCGGGAACTAGAGGAGTTAACAGCTAGCCTATTTGAGGTACTACTCTCTTCCTTTTCCCATAATTTCTTCAGCTAAGCTTACATTCAGCTTTTTTAAGACAGGCTTTCCCAGAGCTTCCAGCCATCTCCTCCCACAGTTTTTCTTCTTCACTTGGAGAAGCAGAGCTGTGTAGTGCTGCAGGTAGAGCTCAGAGCAGGGGCTGGTACCTGCTCCTGGGGAACATTAGCGTGCATTCCTTTTCCCTTCCAGCAGCAGCAAGGTGGCATAAAGAGCACAGCAGTTATGGATCTGTCCATCTGGTAGGAAAGAAAGATGAGGGGATGCCTGTAGCTGGAGGTGAGCATGGCTGCCTCTCCTGTGTCTGCTCTGTAGTCTGGACAGCAGCTGATGTGTAATAGAGATGATTCCCTGGCTTATGTCAGCCTTTGCTTGGGCTGTATGTCATCATATACTCTGCTCCAGTGGGTGTTCAGGAGGCTTGATGGTTGTTTTTTTGGGGTTGGGTTTTGTTCTGTAACATGATTCTTGCCAAGCTCTGTCCTGGCAAAATCCCGTTTACCAGCAGCTCTGATGTCATAGAATCATAGAATGGTTTGGGTTGGAAGGGACCTAGTTCCAACCCCCCTGCCATGGGCAGGGACACCTTCCACTAGACCAGGTTGCTCAAAGCCTCATCCAGCCTGGCCTTGAAGACAGCCAGGGATGGGGCATCCACAACATCTCTGGGCAACCTGTTCCAGTGCCTCACCAGCCTCTCTGTGAAGAATTTCTTACTGATTTCAATTTATACCCATTACCCCTTGTCCTATCACTACAGGCTCTTGTAAAAAGTCCTCTCCCAGGATGTCCAGAGCTCACTGGGCAGTGGGCCAGTGGGCAGTCAGAGCCCATCATACTTTTGTGATACAGGCTGGTGCTGAGCCTAAGGGCCAAGAGAGCATCCCCCTCCTGGAGATTTGGCTGACTGGGCTCACAGTGAGCTTAGAGATAGTGTAGCTGAGGGCTGTCCCTTTCCTTTGGTGGGCTTGGACAGACTGCTTCCAGATAGTGCTGCAGGGAGGCCCCAGCTGTGACTCACATTGCTCCCCTCTTCATGTAGGGATGCTTTTAGACTAGACTCCATCATTTGGCCCTCCCGCAGCTACAGCTGCTGTGTTGCAGCCATGCCCGGAGCAGTGATGGATGGCCTCTCTGCAAAGGAAGTGAGAGCAAAGTACAGTAACAAGACTTGGCCTCCTTGGTGAGGAGCCAAGATATGGAGCAGCAATCGGCATCAGAGCGGTCAGGGTCAGAAAACAGTCCAGTGATCAATCAGCAAGTCTGCAGTGACAGTGCGGGCCTGAGGTCAAGCCCAAAGCCAAACCAGTGGGTCTGAGTCAAGATCAGAGTCACAGGGATGGACTCTGGATGTGGACACAGCTGTGATGTAGCACAAGTGGGTGCTAATGTTAAAGCCTCAGCTTTAAAGCAGTTCCAGGGGCAGGGAGGGGCAGGCCCTTGCTTCTAGCTTCCTTCCTAGCAGCCCGTATCAGTGAAAGATGACCTTGGACTTAGCCAGCTAAACTCTTTAATTTAGCCAATTACATTATTAGAAGGGGGCTGCACTCCACGCCCTGGCACTGAGAGCTTTCTCTGGGAAATTCTGGAGGAATTTACAGACTAAAACCCTTGGACATGGCAGTGATGTCTGTCCCCTTGCTTGCATGCTCAGAGCATGTGATATGGCAAAGCTTTGGCCTGTCCTGGTGGCTTTGAGTTGGACTTGCAACAAGCCTGACTAAAATTCTCTCTGGTCCAGGAAGCACACAAGATGGTGAGAGAAGCAAACACTAAACAGGCGGCGTCAGAGAAACAGCTGAGGGAGGCACAGGGGAAGGTGAGAACTGCACTCTCTGTGACTTGATCCCTATGCCAGCTTGGTGCCATCCCTGCCCAGCCTGGCCATGGTGCTGTTTGTTGAATGGAGAAGAGTAAAGTGCCTGCAACTCTGTCTGAGATGCTGCATTTGCTCTCTTCCATCCCCAGCAGACAATGAGTGAGGGGGGGAAAGACATCCTTGCAGTCTGCTGTTGATCCAGCTCCCCTTTGAGAAATGGGTGCCAGGGGAGCCACAGAGAAGTGATATGCTGTTTAATTGCCACAACTGTGGGGATGGAGAGAGCAGGGAGCTGGCGAGTTGGAATTTCCTGACAAGGCTACATCACAAGACTGCTCGACTGGTTCCATGTTGAAGAGAGAGAAATTTCTTCTGGGTTATTTGGTCTTGGGGCAAAATGTGCTCAGACTTGATGAGCAGGGGGATGGGTTCCTGAACAGCTGCTCTTTAGCCCTATTCAGAAATCCTGAGTGGTGGGCATTTGGGAGAATGGGGAGAAGGCTTTATGTCTGGGCTTGTAGCTGGTTCCCTGTGGCTTTAGTGTTTCATGGGGTGCAGCAAGCTCAAGCTCAGCAGGTGCTGAAGGTGACTCTTGCCTTGTCTCCTCAGATCGATATGCTGCAGGCAGAGGTAGCAGCTCTGAAGACGCTGGTGATCACATCCACACCTTCCTCTCCGAACTGGGAGCTGCACCCGCAGCTCCAGAGCCCTTCTAAAGCTGTTTTCAGGAAGGGCCATGGGCGAAACAAAAGCACCAGCAGCGCGGTGGTCTCAGCTGTCAGCCAGAACGTGGCTCCAGAGCAAGACAGTCGTGAGTTCAAAGAGGTTGGTGAGGGCTGTTCGCTGCATCGTGCTTGGAGCCACTGTGCTCGGGGAGCTGTGCACCTTCTGACTAGGGCTTGCTGGAGAGCTCTGTGGTTTCAGTGTTGGGAGAAGCTGTTTGTGCAGTAATGTGGCTTGTTCCCTAAATTTGTGCTGAGGCAGGCTTTGGAGGGTTTCCATTTGCGGATATTTCCTCTTCTTGGAAGCATGTTTCAGGCAGCATCTGGACAACTGCTAGAGGAAGCAGTTAAGGGATCCTTGGATGAAATGTTTCAGGCAGCATTGGCTGTAGCCATTGTCCTGAGACAGCAATATCAAAGAGAAGTTGAAGTCTTTAACTGTGAACAAGGCTATGTCAGAAAGAAAGCCAAAGGAAAAAAAAATCAATTCAGTAACTGTGGAGGCCTGATGCACCGGTTTCTCTTGGTCAAGCGGGGAACAGTCCGGATACCTAGAAGTGGGACTCAAATGCAGTCAGCTACAGGCTGCTGTGAGGGCCAGGAAGAAAAAGATTTTGATCTTTCCAAGGTCCTGTGACCTCTCCGAATGCTAACAATTCCTCCAGTCAGAACAGAGCCCAGTTTGGTGAGCTACTGACTACCCTGTAGAAGTTGCCTTCTGCCTATAGTAAGCAGAAATTACTTTTGCTTCCTGGATAGTTCATTTTGCTGTTCTTAGCTCAGTCTCAGCAAAGCTGTAGAGAAATGGTAACTCCTGTAGGTGACTTCCTTATTAGAGATTTGGACCTGGCATTTCTTTGTGTAGGTAACTTCCACATGGTACAGATATCCTGGGGCTTAAAATCCCAGGACTACAGCTTCCAAAGTGACTAATAATTTTATATATCGGGGGTGAGGTGGTTTTCTGTTAACTTGTTAATTTCTGTCTCTGAAATTTCCTGAGTGGCCTATGTGAGAGCTGATAAAAGGGAACTCGTCAGAGAGTTGGTGCTCGCTAGTCTATGGAAAAAACATGCCTCATCTTAAATTGAGCCTAAAAATGACCAGCTTTCTGTTCTCTTTTTGCACCTCAAGCTGAAGTCAAAAGGTATGGCTTGAGGTATCTTGAGCAGCATGCTTAGTTCCCTGGAAGGGAAGACTTGAGCCTTTCTTTGTATCTTCTGTTTTGTCTCCTGGTTTTTTACCTCCCTTTCCTGTCTCTCTAAACCATTTCCTTCACTGTCTCTTCCTCTGCACTAAAGCCTGGTTTACCTGCTCTCCACTCTGTTTCTTTGTATCATCCCTGGGAAGGCTATCCACCTCACCTGTGAACCAGGCTGGCAGGACTCGGGCAGATGCTTCCTCATCCTTGCAGCAGGTAACCTTTCTGGACAGCACTGGGGAGGGGTGTGACCCACCTGCCTCACTTCCAACCTTTCAGTTCTAGCTTCCTTTTATGCTAACTTCTTTTATTTCGGGGTTGTTTTGGGGTTGATTTTTGTTTTGTTTTTCTATCTTGTGGCTCTGAAGCTGTCCCCTGGTACCAGGTGAGCCATCTTCGTAGCACAGAGCGAGTGTGCTAGAACCCAGACGTTTTTCAGCTCGGTTCACTTATGGTCTTTGTGTTGCTCAGCAGGGTTTCTTTAGTTTTGTTTGTCCTTTCAGCAGCTTTAATAGGATTTGCTGGCCTTTTAAGGAGATGCCCCGTCAGTCAGGTTGGTGGTTCCGCTAATGGTCCATGTGGGGTTTAAATGTCAGGTCCCAAAGTCTCCAGGACTGAAGTATTTTCAGCCGGACAGGAATGTAGGGAGCAACCTTCCTGCTGGCTCAGGGGATAGGGGCAAGTTCTGTGCTGGGTCCCTTTCTGCTGAACAGGCCCACCTGTAAAAAGCAATGAGCAGACATTAGGAGGGGGGAAGCTGTTCCTGCTCTTGGAGTAGGAACATTTGAGAGACCTCCTTTCCTACACTCAGCTTGCTTCTGCAAGCCTGTGTGGCTGCTCAGTGTTTCCATTACTTGAGACTCCCCAAACACCAGAGTTCTGGGCTTGGAGTGCTCTTTAAATGGCTGGCATACCCTGTGAGCTCATACTTGGGCTCACTGAACGTACTCCTGCTGATGGCTGTTTATTAATAGCTTTTTTCACGTCGCCATTTTCTGTAGCAATCCTTTCCTTACAGAGGGTTCTGCCTCCTGTACCCTGGGTGCCATTGCCACTGTACTTTGCCATGCAGCTGCTTTCGTCATTCCTGCCATGGGCTGAGTGGGCACTTGGTCTGTTCGGTGGTTGTGTGGTGGCTTTACTGCAGCAGAGGTGCTGGCCTGTGCTGGAGGAAGATGGGATAGGGAAGTGCCTGCAGGTTTCTGGCAAAATAACCCCAGTATGGCTCTGTGAATCTGGCACAGAACTGCCGATGGGTGGGATGTGAAATATCCTTGGAGCAAGCCAGCTTCTCTCAGACACTTCTGTAATGCCTGAGCCTTTCTAGATGCTAAAGCAGATGTTGCATAGTTAGATTACCTGCACAGGAACAGACACCTTCTGATGCAGTGTCTCTTCCTCTGCCCACCTTCCCTCTTCCCACTCCTCTTGGACACTTGCTGCAGGTCGACTCCATTTTGTTTGCTGAGTTCCAGGCCTGGAAGGAATCTCCAACTTTGGATAAATCCTGCTCCTTCCTGGACAGAATTTATCGAGAAGACGTAGGACCTTGTCTGGACTTCACTAAGCAGGAGGTGAGTGCTGGAAAAGCAGGACAAAAGCCACAGTCTGGCAGCACCAAAGTCGCACCTGTGTGGAGGTAACCTTTGCACGTGCCCATCTGCACTCTTTTCTCTTGCCGCAGCTGTCGGAGCTGGTGCGAGTGGCTGTGGAGCAGAATACACTCACCATTGAGCCGGTTGCTTCCCAGACGGTGCCTGTGGCGAAGGTGTCGGCGGAAGAGTGCAGCGGGCCAAAGTAAGGAACCGTGCTTACTCTCGCTTGTCCTCTCCTTGCTGCTGATCATGTGGTACCATCTAGTGGAGCTTGGCCGGGCCTGCCTCAGTCAGTTAAGTTGAACAGTTCCGAGAGCTCAGCTGAGTGTTCTCCTGGCCTGTGACCACAGTAGTTCAGCTCAGCTCTTCATGTGAGAAGAGGAATTAGCTCAGCTGATGTACTCTAGTGGACTGTTCTGGGGCATAACCTAGTGATGTGTTAGTGCCCTTGGCTTGTGAGAGGGTGGGGTTTTTTCCGCCCTTAAGCTAGCACCTTCTTTAATGTTCTCTGAAGGCGTGTGTGCCTAACCTAGGGTGAAAGGATGAAGTCAGAGCTGTGTTCTCTCATGTTCTTGCATCTTGTGAGGTTTGAGCTCACCTTGCACTCCTGACCTTGCTGGTACAGTGGGTGAGTTTGAGCCTAGCTCAGCAGAACTCTTCTTTCTGCCTATCATCTTCTTTACCTGATGCTGTCACCTTGCCGTCGGATTTCGGGTTATGCCTGCTCCAGAGCTTGTGTAACTGTATCTGATGTGACAGACAACTTGAGTTTGCATCAAGGAGGAGCACTAGCAGGAGTGACTTGATAATCCAGATGAAGATAGGGTATTTTATTCAGCTATTGAGTTTAAGTTCAGTTAGGGTGCTTTCTCTTTGTTCTTCACTCCCTTACCTTCAAGCAGAGTACATTCTAGGTGAAGGTGTTCCTGTTATAACAGTAAATGCTGCTTGCATGCAGGTTTCCTACCACGCTCTTCTGCATTTTCTGTCATCTCTAGGCAAATTGTTCCATGAGTATGTGTCAGCCAAGAACAACCCATCCTCTGTTTATCCTTATCGCTTTCCTTTAGATTTTTATTTTGTGTCTTCACAGCGTGTCCCGGTCACAAACTGTAACGTAAGTGAAGTATTTATTTTTTAGCCAGTGATCAAAAATCTCTAATCCATTAACAGGTTACTAACTTAGTGCAATTTAGCAGCTTTGAGGCTAGAGTTGAACTAAGCTAACCTTTTAACCCTCTTTAATTTCCACTCAGTCAGCAGGGTAAGTAATCTTACTATTGGCAATAAAGGACCCAAAAGGAATTTGTTCCACTTTGTTTCCCACTGATTTTTATGGCAACTTTGGAAATGCTGTGGACCAGAAAGGAGGAAGTTGGGACGTACCAGATCTCCTTGTCTGTACCTTACTATACAGACCTCAGTGTAACAGTTTGAGGAGACTAGACAGGCAGGGACTGACTTGGCTGCTGTATGACACTGCCTGTATAGCATCAGAGCAAAATGCTGGCCAGGAGGTGCTGAGGACAACCAGCTTTCAGGATGGCATGTGTCCAAATGCTGTGTTTAGGATATGTCTAGCCACAGTTGTGATATTCCTTGGTGTAACCCCAGCTATCAACTAAGCCAGGAGTGACCAGCAGCAGTCTTTCTGCTTTTTTTCCTCTAGTGTGCTGCAGAGCTCAAATTAAGAACTCTTAAAGGTGCTTTGTTTACAAAGGCGTTGGTCATCCTGTACCTTCTGAGGATTTGATCCCCATAAGTTGTGTTAATATTTGGGCAATGATTACTTCTCATTGCATCTCAATGCTTGCAGTCCACGCTTCACTCTTGGATAATATTTGCCTTGATAGCAGTGGAAGGCAAGCACAGAGACATGCTCAGAGGCTCTCTGAAACATCTGCTCCTCTGAGTTGTCATCTTCCATACTTCCACAGAGCAATTTTTTGCAGCTGAGGAGTGATGTCCCTCTTCCCACCACACAGGCACTAAGTTTCTGCGGAATGTGCTGATGGCTGCAGCAGAAAAGTCTGTCTTACTGCTTTCAGTGGTGATGAAGGAAGGGCATCTGGCTGGTGCTAGGAACCATTTGTCTTGCAAATAGCAGAAGTAAACGGCAACAAAATAGAGGCATGCTGCACCTTTGCTGCTGATGTCTTTTGGTGGTCTCCCTGAGAGCTGCGCTGTCTTGAAAAGACTATTTTCTTCACTTGTTCTGAAATCTCCTTACAGTTGCCAAGCTCCTTCCCTGTCTGCACAAGAAGGGATGGGCTTGTTCCTAGGAACTGCAAGCTTGGTCCAAAGCCCCCGAAGTCAGTACAAAGTCACTCCACGAGGCTACAACTATAGTTTTGAATCAGGACCAAATTAATTAATAGGAGCCTAGCATAAAGGCTGCAGTGTAGCTTGTTTTGAGTTCTCAGCATGAGCAAATTCTCTGCTAAATGCTGGATTTACCTGTTTTGAGACCAGGTTTGGCCCCCAGCCGGCACATTTGCATACAATCAGGAAAGCTGATATACCAAAGCAGAACTCTTTCATCATAAGGAGTTTGGTAACTATAGGTCGGTCAGCCTC